AAAAAAGAAAAATATTTTACCAAACATGTGAACTATCTGGTGCTTATGCGAAAATTGCATATCCCCTAAAAATAAGTAATTTATATTAAGTTGATTGCAATCTCCGCCCGGCTACACACTCAAGAATGCACGAGCTCCAGGGGTTATGTCCCGTTCCATCATTTTGTTAGATTCTATTTCTCCATCTATGTGGGTCTTGCTGTATTTTGCCAAAAGGTACTGAACCGTTTCTACCCATCCATTATATTTCTGTTTCCGTGCACCATAGCAGGATTGGTTTTCTGAAAATTTTCCAGAAGATTGAAGATAGCCCATCTATAATTTCATAAAAGAATTATGAATGGTGAGGCATAGATTGATAATGGTGGGTTTTTTCCCGAATTATTTTATGAAATCGAGACTTTTAAAAAAATTCTCAGTTTTGTTAATCTTAAATACAAATAGATTAATATTGGTAAATCGATAGTTTATGGGTAAAATCATTAGTTAATTTTATTGTTAACTTAAGAAGTTTTGTCTGATAGAAAAATAATACTTGACACGATATTAAGCAACCTGTTTAATCTGCTTAGTGAATTGTGTTTGTTTAAGAGATTTAATGACTATCATATCAGAATAGAATGATACGGGATGTCTATCTAATACTTTCAACATGAAAATGCAAGTAGAGAATATCTCAAATACCTTTATTTATGTTATCTAACTTCCAGCATTTCAATCTTAGAATTTGAAACAAATACATCTTCTAGAGTTAATATTTGCAGGCAAAGAAATATCTTGTTTTTCTTATTAAGTTGATGAAATTGCTCTGGTTTTATGGTTTTCAGACAAACGTGATGATGGAAAAGTTCCAATTTGCAGTATTCTTAGGAGTTTTTCTTCGTTCTGTTCAATGTTTTGCTTATGGGATTTCAGTATCTTGCATGATGGCTTACGAAGGAGGAGGTGCTTTGGCTGTTTTTAGTTCACTGGAGTGTACTCAGTGGGTTCTTGCTGCTGAATCTTCTCGAAATTCAACAAGCAACTGCCAGTTCGCTACATTTCAGGGACGTCGAGGGTATCAAGAAGATCGTATTACGTGCAATCTTGATATGCAGATACCATTTTTAGGTACATAACTTCTTCCCTGCTCTGTTCTTTATCACCATGATGCAATAGAATTTTACGTACTGCTATGATTATTAACAAGCAGGTGGTGTGCAGCCGACTTTTTCTGAGTAAACCAAAACAACAAAGCTTTCGTAATTTTCATACTTTTTCCCATCTTTCTCATGAAGAAGTAAGGTTAAATTTAGGAAGTCCTTGCTTAAAGATGCATGTCTACAAGTGATAAAAGAGAAGTTATAATATATCTTGTCCCGAATTAACTTACAAGTGATAAAGAACATGTTAATTATATTGCTTAGCAGTGATGAAAGGCTTGTTAAGTGATATAAAGTCTTAATGGATATGAGAGATGTTTCCTTGAGGATATAAACGGATCCCAACCTTTCCTTTCAGTTGGATTCTGGCTTCCTATGCCGGAGATGAATGAAACCTTTTGTTTTTGCATTTTTAAGGAGTAGCTTGGATTCTAGGTTTGACAGAAGAGACTAACTTTTAACAATAACCCTCTTTAGGTTTTAATTTATTGTTTTTCTAAGGCATAGGACACTTCGTGCAGGAAAAAATGGGCCTGAGGAGGCTACTGTTGGTGTTGCAGCAGTATTTGATGGTCATGGAGGCAAGGAAGCAAGTGAAATGGCTTCAGAAAAACTTGCAGATTACCTTCTCCTGCATACTATGTTCCTTTCATACAACCAAGTTGTTCCGAGCAACGGAGAAAATAATGAAGCATGTACCAGTTGTTTTACTCAAAATAGGTTTGTCAATCCTTAATGACCAAATTCAGAATTTAGTTTAACACTTTCAGTTTCATGTTAAATATTTCATGTATGTTACAATGATGAATAACCTTATATGGAAAACCATATCGCAGTTGTGAAAAATGTAATCCTGTCCTGTAATATCCCCACTGTACTCTAGAATAAGTACCTTTCTGATTTTCACGCAGAGTAATGGCTTGTTCATAAGTTGGACTGCGCGTAAATTAAAATGTTGCATGTTGCATTGTCCACTATCCACCCTAATCCAAGATTGCATGTCAAAATATGCACGGACGGGCTTGGGGTGCCTTATTACATGTGATGCATTTAACTTCTTGATCAAATAGTTTGTGTAATATCTAATCTACTTTTTTTTTTTTTTTTTTTTTTTTTTTTTT